GTAAGGATAAGGAGGGACATATATTAAATACAAAAGAAGAAGTACTGGAAAGGTGGGTGGAACACTTTAAAGAACTACTTACTATAGAAGAAAAGATCCAGATCCAAATCAACCACCCGCAGGGGCAAGCAACAAGTCAGCATTAGAGCCTCCGTCAATTCAAGAAGTACGAGATGCAATAAAACACCTAAAAAACAATAAATCTCCAGAAAGTGATGGTATACCCGCGGAACTTATTAAATGTGGAGGTGCTACTGTGACTAATGAAATATATAAAATAATATTGAGAGCCTGGAATGAAGAACAAATCCCGGAAGAGTGGTGTATTGGAATCGTTTCCCCGCTACACAAAAAGGGTGACCAATTGGAATGTAGAATCTATAGAGGAATAACCCTCCTTAATGCAGCATACAAAATATTTTCGAGAATCTTATATGGTCTCCTAAGTGCATATTCAGAGGAACTTCTCGGAGAATATCAAAGTGGCTTTATGCCTGGTCGATCAACAACAGATCAGATCTTTGTGCTAAGTCAAATACTGGAAAAAACCAATGAATTCAATATCGATACATACCATCTTTTTGTAGACTTCAAATCTGCAGATGATAGTGTCCTAAGAAATAAATTGTATGAAACCATGAATGAATTCCACATCCCCGATAAACTGATAAGATTGGTTAAGGCTACAATGCGTAATGTGGTTTGCAAAGTCGAAATACAGGGCGAAGAATCACAGGCGTTTGGAACGCATGTTGGGCTGCGACAGGGAGACGCGCTGGCGTGTCATAACATAGCACTAGAAAAGGCGTTTAGAGATGCCCGAATAGACAACAGAGAAAATATTTTTAATAAATCATCCCAAATTTTGGCATATGCAGATGATGTGGACCTAGTTGCCCGCACAACACGCAAGCTAGAAGAAATGTATACCACCTTCTCAAATGCCTCAAAATCTATGGGCCTGCAAGTAAATGAGGAGAAAACTAAGATGATGGCATCAACACCCAACAATAGAGTCAGGAACATCGGTCCCCAATTCACGCTTGATAACTCTACCTTTGAACTGGTGGACAAATTCACATACTTAGGCTCCCTGATTACTAAAGAGAACGCCATAACGGAAGAAATCAAGCGGAGGATAATAATGGCAAACAGATGCTATTTTGGACTGAGTAGACATATGAGAAGTAGAAACTTAAGCCAAAAAAACAAAAATAACTATATACAAAACCCTTATACAGCCAGTGTTGACATATGGATCGGAGACGTGGACCATCTCCAAAGCAGACGAAGCTTATATTCTTCTGCTTATATTTGAACGAAGGATCCTGAGAGGAATATTTGGTGGCATATGTGAAAATGGTGTTTGGAGAAGGAGATACAACTACGGGGTATGCCACAGATATAAACAAATATTTGGTGGTAAAGACGTAGTATCTCTTATAAGAATAGAAAGACTAAGATGGGCAGGTCATCTAGCAAGATCACAGCAAAACAACCCTCCTAGAAGAATCCTAATGTTACAACTCGTGGGAAGTAGAAAAAGGGGTAGGCTAAAACTCAGATGGAAGAATGGTGTAGATGAGGATGGTAGAAAGATAGGCGCAGCAAACTGGCAACGGTTGGCAATGGATAGGACTGCCTGGCGTAATAGACTTGGGAAGGTCGTGGCTCTTTCATAGGGCTGTAGCACCATTGATGATGATGATATTTATAATTATTTTATAAATAATATTATTAATATTACAACTTTATTACCTACATGAAATCAACTTTAAATTAAAAATAGCCGTCATAAAAATCATAGCACGTCGTCATCATAAGTGGCTCGACAATCCGTTGTAGATCTTGGCCTGCTCACAAAAAAGTTGCCTCTCCATTCCTGGTAACTTCCCCTCTTCTTCTTACCCTTAAAATCTGTAGGTCTCCTTCCACATCATCAATCCATCTCATTCGTGGTCGTCCCCTACTTCTTGTGCCCTCTGGTTTTGAAAATACTAATATCTTCGTCTATTCGTGATCTGACATCCTAGCAATGTGTCCAGCTCATCTAAGTATCTGCACGACTTTCACAATATCTGGATCGGTGTATAACTTGTTTTTCTTGTAGTGCCCATCCATTTCGAGTGTTGGCCACCCGCATGGCAGTCTGTATTTTGTAAACTGCGGCTCTGAAAAGATTTGTGGTTGTTTTGTACGTAGATTTTTCAGCCAGGAAATTCTTCATCCTCCTGGTCTCAGTTTTCCTTCTACTTTTTCTTGAAGAATTAAGTGCAGCAACCCATACCTTTCATTGTTCCAGTGTTCCTCATTATGTGACCGAGGTATTCAATTTTGGCTGTTTTTATTTTGGTTAACCACTCTTTAGATGTGAATTCTTTGACTTGCTCAAAGGTATAGTTGTTAATTTGAATTCTCTATTGGATATTTCGGGGGTTTTTAAAAAACCGACGTACATTTGATGTATCCTCGATATGTTATTGACTTACTAATGTGGTAAGTGGTATTTTTTTCTATTTATTTCCTCTTTTAATATGGAAAACCAGATTCTAGAGCATTATGCCGTTTTTAACTGATTTTATACATGAATAAATAATAATAGCGACAGAAATGGATGTATTTAGAAGATCGGTCATAACATCAAGAACCTAGAAAATGAAAATATCGAAGGGCAAAGGAGATTTCAGGAGACATTTATTACTGTCATCGAAAGGAAACAACTTATCTGGTACGGATACGTATAGAGAATAAACGAGAACAGGTTACCTAAGTATGCACACAATTTGATACCACATCATCGAAAACAAAAGGGGACAAAAAGAACTTGGAATGAGGAAATTCGTAATGCCATGAGTGTGAGGAACTTAAAGGATGGACAATAGGAAGATCAAAGAAAATGGAGTGTAACTGCCAGTTGAATATCATCATCATCAGTGGTGCTACAGCTCTAGTTGAGCCTTGACCTTCCCCAGTCTATTTCGCCAGTCGTTTCTGTTCATCGCCAACCGTTGCCAATTTGCCGCGCCGATCTTCCTTGCGTCCTCGTCCACACCGTCCCTCCATCTCAGTCGTGGTCTGCCTCTACTCCTATTTCCCACTGGGACCGATAATAGAGTTCGTCTGGGTGGGTAATTTTCATTTGCTCTTGACACATGTCCAGCCCATCTAAGCCTACCTATTTTTATGAAGGAGATTACATCTCTACCATTTACTATTTTTTTATACTTCTCGTACAATTCGAAATTATATCGCCTTCTCCAAATACCATTCTCACAGAATGCGCCCATTATTCTTCTTAGTATCTTCCTTTCGAAGACGAGCAGAAGATTTGCGTCTGTTTTGGAGATGGTCCATGTTTCTGACCCATATGTCAGCACTGGTAGGATGAGTGTTCGATATATTATTAGTTTGGTTTTCTGGCTTAAATTTCTGTTTTTTAGCTGCTTGCTTAGTCCAAAATAACATTTGTTTGCTAGCAGTACCCTCCGTTTAACTTCTTCAGATGTGTCATTATCGTTTGTTATGAGAGAACCCAAATATGTAAACTTATTTACTACCTCAAAATTATATTGGTCTATACTGAAGTTTTGTTCGGCGTTTCTAGCTCTATTTCTGTTATTTGGAATAGATGCTAACATTTTGGTTTTTTCCTCGTTTATTTTAAGGCCCATATTTTGTGCGGCTGTCAAGAAGGCGGAAGTCATCTCTTTAAGTCCTCGTGTAGTACGTGCAATCAAATCCAGATCGTCAGCGTAAGCCATAATCTGCGTTGATTTATTAAAGATTGTTCCCCTATTGTGTAACTCGGCATCTCTTATAGTCTTTTCTAACGCTATATTAAAGAGAAGGCACGCCAGCGCGTCTCCCTGCCGTAACCCTGCATATGTTTCAAACGCTTGTGACATATCGCCTTGTATTTGCACTCTGCAGATCACTTTACTCATAGTTGTTTTTACGAGCCTTATTAATTTATGGGGAATGTTAAGTTCATTCATGGCTTCGTATAATTTACCTCTTAGGACGCTATCATACGCTGACTTAAAGTCCACAAAGAGATGGAACGTGTCAATATTAAATTCATTGGTTTTTTCTAAGATTTGACGTAGCACAAAAATCTGGTCGATTGTTGACCTACCTGGCCTAAAACCGCTTTGATACTCACCAAGGATTTCATCCACGTACGTACTTAAACGGCTGTACAGGGTATTGGAGAATATTTTGTACATTGTATTCAGAAGAGTTATACCCCTATAATTTTTACACTCCAACAAATCTCCCTTTTTGTGTAGTGGACATATGATTCCAGTGCACCATTGCTCTGGCATTTGTTCTTCTTCCCAGACTTTGACTATTATGTTGTGAATTTGGTGCATAATGCTGTTACCTCCATGTTTGATGAGCTCTGCGGGGATACAATCCACTCCTGGGGATTTGCTATTTTTGAGTCGTGTGATTGCGTCTTTCGTTGAAGGAGGTTCTACGTGAGTGTTATTTCTTGGTCTTTGGGGTGACGCATCATTTTCCACTTCGGTACCAAGTAGTTCTTTGAAGTGCTCAACCCATCTGCTTTGTACTGCGTCAGCGGTACTGACTATATGTCCATTTTTGTCTCTACACATCGTCAGCCGTGGTTTAAATTTTTTTCTTGTCTTATTTAGGATATTATAGAACTTTCTAGTTTCATTTTGCCCCTTTAATGATTGAAGCTCTTGCATAATCTGGTTTTCGAAGGTCAGCTTTTTCCTTCGATGTATGCGTTTTTCCTCCGTCCTAAGGTCTTTGTACATTTGCTCCTTATCCCGTGTTCTTCTTTGTTGCATAAGTTTATATGCATAATTTTTTCCAGTTGAATATCATGTCCCAAATATCGATTGACCAGAGACTGAGGTGAATGAATGACAAACCGTAGTAAAAATGCAACCAATAACAAAAACTAAAATGAAATTAAAAACTATAATTATAAAATAAAATGTAAATATTACAAAATTAATATAAAGACGCTTAATTTTTCGAGTCTATACCTTCAGAATACCATGCACCCTAAATCTGTATATACAAGTAAAAACTGGATGGTAGTGATTGGTCAATATAATAAACTCCACATATTCATAATTATTGGAGCTGTCTACAGGAAAAGTTTGAAATAATTGTCCATTTAACTCATAACTAAATCGACCAAGATACTCCTCTCTCTCCAGATCATCTTTGAGACCCCAGACCTCAAAATCCCTAGGAGCGGACGTTACTTCGTTAGTAGGAGACATATGTCTAGAAATGTGTTCAACGGTAAATGCAGTTATATGTACTTTTCCTATCAGCTTAACCACAGCACCTCCGTAAGATCCTTTTATCGCCCAACAGTGTCCAGGCGACATATCCGCTTGCAACATCGCTCGAGGACCATGAGATCCTTCGCAAAGGGTTATGCCAAATACCGTTGTTGCTAGATTGAAGTTGTGTGTATCAGGAGACAACTTGACTATTTTTCCACCCGAAGCTTCTAAGGCATAATCCACCTGTCCAGTTTTATCGGCACTAAAAGTTTCTAATTCTTCAGTTATAAAAGATTTTATGTTTCTTTCTAAATACTCTTGTTGTCTTTTAACGCTGTTCAAGGTATTCTCGATGGCATAAATTCGATTTTCGTCAAAGATATTGTTTATTTCGTGTTTTAAAACAGCAACTTCCTCTGATAAATTTCGTATCTGCTGTCCGTTGTGTATTAAAAAAATTATAATGTACAATGAAACAAGTAAACACAGACCCACCACGTATTTTAACCAAGTATTTGTTCTGGCTCTGGATGTACTACAACTTCCCCGAGAATTAAACATTTGTTGTTAGTTTTTGGTATTTGATAATTATTGTAAAATAAATGACATTTTGAATTTTACGATCAATCGGTTGCCATAACTGCTGTTATTTTGACAGTTATAAAATCTGATTCACAAATACTGTTATTTTCTTGACGTTTATTATCCTGCCTCCATCACCTTTTGAAAAAGGACTACTAAAAAACTAACTTTATCGCTATCAATTCCCATATGCATCAAAATTAAAGAGCAAACATTTACAATCATAAGGAGAATATGTTAAGGTCTTTTAAGAATGAACTTTTAACCCTTCAATACATGATTTTTATTTTACATTACAAAAAAGTTTGCAGACTGGATTTTCGTTATTTTTACGGGAAAAAATCATAAAAAAAATCTGAACAACTTTTTTTTTATTTTGGAAAAATGTAAGTGTTGTTTATGAAAAACATTATGTAAATAAGGATATATATAAATTTGCAAATTTACGGGCCAATGGTGAATTCCATCCATTCGAACATCCTTTACTGGCATAACCCATGCTGGGCCTTTTCTTTTCTTTATTTGTAGCTCTTCCTCAGTTTCACTTGCTGAAGGTCTTCCCCTTTTTGTAATGGTGAATCGCTCTCCTTTTTGGAAACAATTGGGGAAAACCAAACCAGTTAAAGAAAACGAATGGTTTGACAAGGAGTCCCAAGAAGCAACAGATAACAAAAACAGGGCATACCTAAAGACAAATCAAGCTGGATGCACAAGAAGAGCAAAGGAAGAATACCGGACACTAAGAAGAGAAGAAAAACGATTACATAGAAAAAAAAAGACAATTTGAGCAAAAGCAGTTGGAAAGCACAGAATGGCTAAGAAATCAAAATGAAACTCGAAAGTTCTACAGAAATCTAAACAAAATGCGCAAAGAGTTTAAGCCAAGAATAAGGAGCTGTAAGGATGTAGAAGGAAACATCCTAAATGATACAGCCTCAATCCTAAACAGATTTGTTGAATTTTTCGATGCAAAATTTAATGGCCATCATATCGAAGAAGCAGATAACACCCTTTTACATAAAAAAGGTGACCAGCTCCAGTGTGACAACTATAGAGGTATAACCCTGTTAACAACTGCTTACAAAATACTAGCAAATATTCTCTACGAAAGGTTGCAAGTTTACACAGTGGGCATAATTGGTAAATATCAAGTTGGATTCACTCCAGAAAAATTAACAATTGACTAGATTCATTCAATAAGACAGATTCTCGAGAAAACATTAGAATTCAATATTGAAACCCATCACCTATTCGTCGACTTCAAGGCCGCATACGACAGTGTCAAGAGAACAGTGCTATACCAATCAATGCATGAGTTTGGTATACCAGAGAAACTTATCCGACTAACGAGAATGACAATGTCTAACTTAGAAGCCACTGTTAGAATACAGGGAGAGAGTTCTAGATCCTTTGAGATAAAGGATGGACTCAGACAAGGAGATGCTCTGGCTTGCCTCCTATTTAATATTGCCTTAGAAAAGGCAGTCCGAGATACACGAATTAGGGATGGCGGTACTATTTACAATAGATCGATACAAGTCTTAGCATATGCTGATGACATTGACATAGTAGGGCGTAGCAAGCGAGATGTTGAGCAATATCTCCTAGAATTGGAAACAGCGGCGAAACAGGTCGGTCTAATCATCAACGAAGACAAAACCAAGTACATGTTGGTTACAAAGGATCCGATAGCAAATGAGGAACGAGAGACAATCTTTGGAAGTCATACCTTTGGACGTGTTGACAACTTCACATACCTTGGGTCTCTATTGACTGCTACCAATAAAACAAGCGAAGAAATCAAAAGACGAATAAATTTTACAAATAGGGCATACTATGGACTCCAAAAGCATTTCCACTCAAGAAACATTCAAAGAAAAACTAAAATTATTATATACAAAACATTGCTGAGGCCGGTCCTCACATATGGAGCAGAAACATGGACTCTAACGCAGAAAGATGAAAAACTTTTGGGAATATTTGAGCGTAAAATACTCCGCAAAATATTTGGAGCTGTAAACGACCAAGGGCAGTGGCGCAGAAGATATAATTTTGAATTGTATCAGCTCTTTGATGAGCCAGATGTCATAAAATTCATTAAAACACAGCGACTTAGATGGGCTGGACACATAATACGAATGCCAGAAAATACCATTGCTAAAAAGCTAACCACAGGAACACCTGTAGGAAAAAGAAGTAAAGGCCGACCGCGAATTAGGTGGTTAGATGGAGTAGAAACCGACTTTCGAATATTAAAAATCAGAAGATGGCAACATGTTGCCAAAAACCGAACAGAATGGCGACGAATCTTAGAGCAGGCCAAGATCCACAGAGGATAGTCGAGCCAAAGATGATGATGAATCGCTCTCCTGTCCTGCATAATGCTTCTGTCAGTTGTGTTCTAAACTGAGCATCTATGTTCAGTTGAATTCTTGTAAAGAATCTAACTGTTAGCAACGGTTAGATCTAGTGGATGGTAAAATATTCTAAAATACCATTTTTCATGCCTTATAATAATTTTATTTCGTCCCAAATTGCTATCCAATAAATCAACACCGCACATGACGGTTGTATTCTTGTACAAGATATGGATAACTTACTTGTTTGTTCTCTTTTATTTCTTGACATATCTCTTGGAAGTAGTTTTAGGAAATTCACCAGCGAAAGTCGATAGAAACGAGACTAATTTGTTATCTTTCCACACTAAACTACTTATTTCCACACCATTGCAAGTACCAACAAACAAGTTCCTGTTTTTCCTTTTTTTATAGCCTTTTCATCCGGAAGCTTACAATTTGGAATCCTATTCCTTCTTACGGTTCCTAAACTGTGAATACCTTGTTTGGAAAGATATAGAAGGAGATGTAAAGAAGAGTTATATTCCTAGGAATAATTCAAGCCAATCTCATCACAACATTTGCAGTTGCTCCGAGGTCAGGTTCAAAAGCAGGTCTCGTTTTTTAATCATTCTCTTGTCCGGTATATAATTTTATACAATACGCATATCCAGAGCTAGTGCATAAGACAAAAAATTTAAAACCCCATTTATGTGGCTTGTTTTTAGGTAGTGCTTCATGTAGTGCCTAGCTCTGGTAGAACAAATTTGCTCATCGACGGATAGATATTGTTCTAAGGGAATTCCGTTTGAAAATGCTTCATTAAGGTGATTAATATTGGTCTAATGTTATAAACTCTATCGTAGTTTCGATTGTCACCCGATAAAACATTCTCGTTATTATTAAAATGTAAAAATTGTCTGATTTTTTCGTACCAGTTTTCTGACATAGCACTTTTTATTTGCTCAAAGCCAATTTCTTCTGGACAATATACCCTTGTATTGGGCAAATGAATAAGGGACATATACATATATTATAATTCGAATAAACTGCTTTATTTCTCTTAGTGTAATATTCAGTAGTTTGTTAGGATTCTGCTGTATGGCATATAAATTTGACGTCTCCACAATTTTGTCTAAAAGGCCATACAGGGTGAGTCATGAGGAACTTTACATACTTCTACCATATGTAGAGTCCCTCAGGGAGCATATCATATGGCCACTAAAAAATATCAACTCCTCTTCTTTATTAATTAACAGGGTGATTTGTGTAATTGACCATTTATTTTATTTTACTGTAGTGTTTATACGGCTCATTTGATTTTTTTTAATTTTTGCATGATACAGTACACTACTATCAAGCATTCGACTGGTGTTAGCTAAACTAAAAAATTCCAGGACTGGCTTTGGAAAAATGAATTTAGGGATTTGTATTAAATATTACACCCTATATATATATATAATATATATATATATATATATATATATTTTAAATGCAATAAGTGATTTTCAAACTACATAAATAGCCAATGAAAACGACATATCAACTTTATTAAACGATCAAATCTTACCAAAAATAGAACAACCATAAGGAAGTATCAAATTATAAGGTAATTAATTTAAACAAATGTTATAAATTTCAAACATTTTAATTGAAATGATAAGCTGAGTCACTGCACAACAAAAAACAGTAACTAATGACAATAACGAAGAACAATTTAAAAAAAAAACTAAAAATATGTACATAGTTATGATAAACCCATAAATTAGAACTGGAAAAGATACAATAATGGTAACAAAATAAAAATAATTCAAAATAGATTTTCGAAATGGAACCCTGCAGCCTGTTGCAGGCTGCAGGTTCCATTGTTCAATTGTTAATTGACGTATTGAATTACGGATACTCTGGGGATCGTTTCTAATGGTATTACAACAATGTATAATTCTATCAATTAATTGTTGTCGGTTATTAATATTCACTGCGTAATCTAGTTGACTTCAATCGTCCCCAAATATGGTAATCAACGGGATTGAAATCAGGGGATCTTGAAGGCCACGAAATAGGACCTGCACGTCCTATCCACCTGTTGCCATAAACATTATTGAGATGTTGCCTCACTGCCAGTAAAAAGTGTGGGGGTGCCCCATCATGCTGAAAATACATCCCTCGGATAGCAACGTTCGCGTTGGCAAGCAAATTCGGCAAAATATTTTGTAGAAAATTCAAATAGACCTGCCCTGTTAAAGGACTATCAAAAAAGTGAGGACCTACTAATTGGTTATTTATGACACCAATCCACACGTTAACCGAAAACCTTAACTGAGAACGACGTTCTCGAATAGCATGGGAATGTTTCTTCTGCCCACACATGTGAATTTCGTGAATTATTTATCCCGTCTCTGGTAAATTGGGCTTCATCTGTAAATAGTGTCCTGTATAGCGTTGGTCGATTATTAAGACTCTACTTACTTTTGATTGAGTAACATTGAGTTCTCGACTTACTTGTCTAGTGCTTATTGTAGGGTTCATAGTAACGGCGTCCATAATGTCATCTTCCTGCGCTTCATCTACATGTCGCTCTGTTGTTCCACTAGGAAAAGTGCCATTTTCTCGCAAATAATTAAAAACTGACCCAAATGTTGGATGACTGGAAGTTCGACGATTAGGAAATCTCCTGCGATATTCTCTACTAGCA